CAAATGTTAAAAAGATGCAGAGCAATACTTGCTAATAAAATTCAATATTCATTAGCAGTTTCTGCTAAACAAATCCACCAAACTGTGTTTCTAAAATGCAGAAGTAACAAGACCTAGTGGTTCAAACCACCAAGTTTTTTATGTAATGCAACATGAAAACAATTCCACCACTCCAACCATCATCTTAAAAAAAAAGAAAAAGATACATATATCCAAAACCCACAGTAAGTAAAACTTTTATATCCCAGAATATTATAATGCTATTTTAACTTTGACTTATTTAGGTTACTTTTGGACTATACAGTCAACACTGATTAATCCAAACATACCATATTATTATAGTGGAAGTTCCCTTTTTTCATGTAAAAGATATTGAAAATTTGGTTTAAAGTGTTACCCAGCTAACTATAAAAATCTGAAACATATCAAATTATTATTATAAGAATAAAACATTAAAGCAGCTAGCATGGAGAAGCTAAACAGTGTTGTTGTCATACAATAGTACTATAGAATGTGATTAGACTTTCTAATTTTATTCTTATTCATTTCTAAATGGTTTTCAAACTTTTCAAGATAAGTTATAATTATTGAAAGTTATAACATTATTATAATTTTTATGTTGTTTAAGTTTAAATTTATAGTACTTCAAAGATATCCAAAATGCTTAGTTTTAATTTGGCTAAGTGTGCATTTGTCTCATAAATAATATTATGATATATGATTATTCATTTCCTTTGGTTGGTTACAAACATTTGAGTAGCTGTGTAGTTATAGATATATCACTTAAGGCTCCAACACTGTTGTAAACATAGATATGTACATGTAAAACAACACTAAATTGTCTAGAATAATATTTTTTTGTTTCAATAGGTGACTGATAAATGAATAAACCTTTCATTGTTTATAAATGCTCAATAATGCATGAGTTTATTGCATAGCTTTGATATCTAATATCCAATAATACCACTGCATATGTGCATGGTTTTTGAGTGTTAGACATTAACTCTCTCAACATGGGCTCGGTCAGTTTGACTGACCACGTGACCTTTTTGTACTCATTTAAAGTCTTTATAGATTTAATATTTATAACTCTCAATATAGTGTGTATATCTTCCCGAAATTTGGCAGCCTTTCAGTTAACATTACAAGTCTTTCACATACAAAAAAATCATATTTCTTAGTGAGGTACTTTTAATATGCTAAAATAATGATTTGTTCTTAAACATATCGAGTATTTGTTTAGAATATTCTGTGTTATGATTAAAAATACTTTTCTTCATCCTACAAATCTCAAATTTCCTTTATGTAATCCCTAAGACCTCCTACATACACTTTAACAATTTTTTTAAGCAAAATTTTATATTTTATGTTATTTTCTGTACCCTATCTCTAACCAACCTCGTAACCCCAACAAAAAAAAATCGAAATAAATATAAATTACCCTTTTTCTTTCTAAAATTACTTCAAATTGTAACATGAAACTACATTTATTTATCCCAAGTAGCTTGAAGTTCATAACATTATACATCTATTTATAATTAAATTTTATTGTTTTATTGTCCTTTGAACCATGTGGCATGGATAGTAGATTTACAACTTATAATCTCCGAGTGAACGTGCAGGTAACGTTGAGCTATCGTGCGTGCCTCCTAAACCATTTCAATTACATTATTATTATTACTACTTATTGTACCTAATCTAGTCTTAAATAACTAAAAAAAAATCCGTATTTTAGGTTTTAGTTACTTTTATAATAATAATGAAAGAATAAATATGAAAAATCAGAAATAAAGTACTTACACAATCTTCTTTTTTCTTGCTCCTGGTTGTCAAGATGATTGCACTTGGCCCTGCATGGCCAGGTGGTTAGGGTGCTCGACTCGCAATCAGTGGGTTCGATTCATCATCACCCCAAACATGCTCGCCCTTTCAGCTGTGGGGGCATTATAATGTGATGGTCAATCTCAAGAGTTGGCGGTGGGTGGTGATTACTAGCTGCCTTCCCTCTAGTCTTACACTGCTAAATTAGTGACGGCTAGCGCAGATAGCCCTTGTG